TTAAAAACACATAAAATCGTATTATAACATCGACAGAGACAAATAATAAAATAGAACATTAAAATCGAGATGTGTCTCGTTGCATTGCGCGAATACTCTTCTAGAGAAAGAAAAATCATGTAACTAACTGCATATAAACACAATCAAATACATGATGAACATCTATTTTAAATATACAAAATCTAAAATATAATTAAAATAATCATTGAGTTTCTAACCGAATGTTTAATTATTATCTTTAATAAAAATTATATTATTAAACAAAAAATAAATTACTTTGTTATTAGATTTAAATTAAATTATAATAAAAGATTAAATTAAAGAAGTTACACCAAAAAACGAGAACTATTATATATTTAATTTAATAATAATATCGATTTTATTTTATTTTTTTAATTCTTTTTATGCTATCTTCATATTTATATTCCATTCAAAAATAAAAACATTATCGTTTTTTTTAAAAACACATAAAATTGTATTATATCGATAGAGACAATTAATAAAAACTAAATATTAAAATGAAGATTTATCTCGCTGTATTATACGAATACAATACAATTCTATTATATATATATATATATATATATATATATATATATATCCTTATCTTGAAATAAATAAAACATAGAATACAAAGTGATAAATATAAAAAGACCTTATATTAAAATAATGATTTATTTTTACAATTTAAGAGAGTATATTTGAAATGTCAAAGTAGGTGACTTGTTTTAAGAACCTAAACACCACGTTTTAAAACTCCACTATTTTAAAATGTAAAAATAGCATTCCAATTTGAACACTTTCACTCTCCTCAAAGGTTGCTATCTCTTCATTTATTTAACATTCCAAATTTGTGTCAACCAACAAGGGTATAGTTTTAATAAAATTGCAACTTTTTAATCGTTATTTTAAACTAGAATAGTACTCGCACAATGTAGCGAGATCATCTCGATTTTAATGTTCTATTATTATTTGTCTCTGTCGATGTTATAATACGATTTTATAAGTTTTTAAGAAAATAATAATGATTTTATTTTTGAATAAAATATAAATTTGAAGATATCATAAAAATTTGGAAAAACACATATCAATGTTAATATCAAATCAACTATTTTAAAAGTTCTCATTTTTTATGTAATTTCTTTAATTTTTTTATTATAATTTAATTTAAGTTTAATAACAAAATAATTTATTTTTGGTTTGATAATATAACATATTATAAAAATAATAATTAAGTATTCTGTTAGAACTCAATGCTTATCCTAATTATGTTTTGGATTTTTTATTTTTTAAATAAGATGTTTATCATGTATTTGATTATGTTTATCTACAGTTAGTTGCACGAATTCATATGTGAAACTTTAATAAGTTGTACTTTCCCACAATTTACTTGCAATCTTGAGTTTTAAGTAATATACATTAATAAACAGTACTTTACGCATAAAAAATGGTTTTTAAGAATTTTTATCAAACACTTTATAATATAGTATAGATATAATTTTTTACATGAGAAATAATAACACATGTCTGATTTTTAATTAAATTATATGTTATCATAAATAACAATTATAAAAAGTAACAACATATTTTTGTTATACCATCTAAAATAAAATAAATTAAAAGTTATTTACAATTTTCATAAAAAAAGGTACATCACCTAAATAAATACTTTTTTAAAGTTTACCAATTTGGAAAATGAGTCATAAATAAATACCTTAAATAACTTTTCAAAGGTCATTGAATATTACATTTAGCTGAAACAATTTTCCTATTTTGGAATATTACAATATTAATTACAGTATTAAAATATTTAAAATATAAATATATATTATATATACATCGCTATATACAAAAGTAGCTACAAACTTTTTCTTCCTATAAGATACATGACTTGAGTATAACAAATTCATAGTACATGAATAAACCCAGCTTCCAAAAAATTCATAGATGTAAAACTATCACATTTCAATTTACATTTTCCCCTTCCTTTTACCTTCCACATGTGTTCGATATGTAATGCACATTTTTGAAAAGAAAACGAGGGTTAGACCATAAGGTCTAGTGAGTAATCTTCTTGATAGCTATTACAGGGTGAAAATCATCAAAATACTTTTGGAAAGCCAATTTTTGAAAAGATAACATGGAAATACTATTTATCGTATCAAACCTCATTTTGTCGCACCGTATAGATGAGACAACAAATTCCTTGCATCACATTGATGAGACAACCTCATTTCCTCGCACCAATCAGATGTGATAAACTCATCTGATCGCATCAAACACATGCGATAAACACCATCTGTCGCACCACACTGATGCGATAAACACAACTCCTCGCACCAAGCAAGTGCGATAAACACACTTGTCGCACCACACTGATGCGATAAACACAACTTCCCGCACCAAGCAGATGCGATAAAAACCCATTCCTTGCGTCACACTAATGCGATAACTCACTTTGTCGCATCACACTGATGCGATATAATCAATGTCATTGCTTCATACATATGCGATAACAGTAACACATATAATCAAAATATCATCTTTCACTGATTTGTTGAGTATGCCACCCTTATTTTAAAATATACACTTATCCTAATTATGTCACACTTATTTCAAAATATACATTTTTCCTGATTATATCACTTTTATTTCAAAATATATATCTCTCTTGATTATGTCATATTTATTTTGAAATGATGGAATAATTAAAAACATCAAACATATTTAGGTGGTTTAAAAATGTGAACTCCATTTGATGACAATATTATATATATATATATATATATATATATATGTATATATATGTATATA